AAACTACCAGGCGAAGAAATAGCGGCCCGAAACTGCTCTAGGCCCAAGATGGACTCAACTTCACCACCAAATTTCATGTTGTGTACCTCTTCCCCACGTGATTTCTTCAACGCGATTTGCGCGTGAAAAAGTGACTCGGCAACTTCCTTGTTATCCGGAAGTTCCCTTCTCAATACCTCATAGTCTCTCACAGCGTCACTCCATCTCTCAAGCTACACAAGAAGCAACATTCGAGTGTTTAACATAAAACGCCAATATTTTCTAAAATTTTCAAAAAATGCTCCTTTCATATTAGCTAATATACCTTGGAGTTAGAGGCAGCCCTTCTTAGCAGAGCTTTCGTGTAACTCGGCTGGATAAGAAGGGCTTGATTGCAGTCATCAACTGAGCGGTCCCACTGACCAAGCTTAAACCAACAAGCGGCTCTATTGCAATACAGAACAGAATTTGTGGGGTTTAGCCTCAGGCCCTCCCCATAAGCCGAGCAGGCCTCGGTAAACCTCTCGGATTTGAACAAATCATTCCCTCGGTTACGAGCACGGCCCACCAACCTCACATTGTTAAGCAGCTTCGAGATTTCAACATTAGATGTGTCGATCTCACCAGCTTTCTCGATTGCTGCAAGTGCACTATCAAACCTGCAAAGAAGTCATCATTTCATCTCATATTACATTATTATGAACCCTTTGTCATAGAGATTTTGGGAAGAAAAAAAGACAAGGAAAGAAAGAAAGGAGGGAAGAACGAAAAGAAGAGGAAACTTCAGATTTTGCTCCTTCATAACACCAAATATTTTAAAAAAATTGCCGTGTTACTTTCAAAAAAATATTACTTATTATCTTAAATTTGGAACTTATTTGGGCTTTTACGTGATTACTCTAAAACTTGGGGGATGGTTTCGTATATAACTCTTTTCTGAAAAATACGCAAAAATGTTACAAAAAAACTCACCTTCCCAAGGCTAACTCAATCTGGGCCCTAACAACATACACGTACGCTTCTAGAAGCATACCAAATATACGCAATTGGGAATGGAAGCTCACACAAAGAGCGGATGTGGGGATGTTAGATAGAGCCAAAAAGGCTTCATCTATTCGGTGGAGTTTCAAAAGAGCTTCCGCTTTACAAGCCCAAAGCTGTAAATTCGAGCACAAACGGTGTGTGAGTGAGAAACTTATTTCAGCTTCATATCAGAAGGTAATTTTGGAAGGAATTTTAAAAAGACACCTGAGGCGAAGCATCAGCTCCCGAAGCAATGGTGGCATCAACTTCTCTCAATGTGCTTTTCCAGTCACCGATTTTTCGTGCATCGGTACATTTGCTCAAGTGCTTCTCTATGCATTGCAGCTTCTGCACGTCTGTGGGATCTGGCTGCTGCCCAGGAAAGCAAATGTGCTTTCTCGCATTCTCAACCTGACCTAAACTGTAACAC